GCCGCAGCCGGGAGAGGCTTGTTTTTGGTTTTACTTTTGCAAAAATATTGATTTCTATATAGATAGATAGATACATTGCATAAGTAGAGATATACTCCCTGCGTGTGTAAAGGCAGTAACCGTTCCCCCCCCCCACACTTCTATCCAAGCTCCTGTGAGCCAAGCAACTCTTACGTTGTGTGTGCAGTTACACACAATGTGTGTACTTCTGGTGTGTGTGTGTGTATGTACACACTGTGTGTAGTGTGTTTATACACACAATGTGTGTAGTGATATAGTCTGTGTGTGTGTGTGTGCATCTACACATGCAATTAATGCACCTGAATGTACTGCACAGTAAGTGCAGGCACATTAAACTGCACCCAGGCACACGTCTACACATGCACACCAGTCAGGAGCCTAGTCCAGGGCTACTCCTGCCTTGCTCTGCCCCCCTGCAGCAGCCCCAGGTGCCAGCTCCCAGGTGTCAGGGGGCTCTGGGGGCAGCCCCGGGCTGGCAAGAGGCGCAGGGGGTCAGGCTTTGGAGCCGGGGGCAGGAGGGAAGCTGTCCCCAGGGTGGGGGGCAGCTCCCAGCTGCATGGGGTTCGGGGTTAGCCCAGGGACAGCCAGAGCCAGGGACAGCTCCCCACTTGCTCCCCAGTGCTCAGGACTAAGTCAAGCAGCAGTTGTTCCCCCTGTTTCCTGGGCTGACTGGAAGCAATTTGCTCCCTGGTCAGCATCTATATATGCACTTAGGTGCATTAGTTTAAAGCGCCATTTTTTAGTACCTGTATCTGTTGGTACAAGCAAATGATGCTTTAAATTAATCTAATGCGCAGTAATTGCTGTGCACGTATGGACAGTGACACATTAGTATAATGCCCAGAAAAGCACACCCAATATATGTATACATAGTGTGCATGTGTGTGTACACAATGTGTGTATATCTATCTATCTATAACCTGTGGCAGCTGAGGGTGTTAGCTCTATGTTGTTAGGGTTGACAGTCGTCTTATGTAGAGTTTCAACGATGGTTTGTTTGGGATGGATTGGATAGGGCTGATCCTGCCTCAAGCAGGCGGTTGGACTAGATCAGTGTTTCTCAATCTGTGGGTCGTGACCCAAAAGTGGGTTGCAAGAATATATGAGAGTCGTGAACAAACTTTAAAAATGGATTCTCCTTTGAAGGAGAAGACTGTGGGAAACCATGGCTTTTCCCTTGCAGGCTGGCAGAGTTCCAGCCTGCAAGGGGTCCCCATGCACCCCCCCCCCCCCCCCCGGGGCCCCCTCACCCCCCCCCCCCCCACACACACACACACACACAAAGACTGCCCCACACATATACACCCTGCTCCATACACTGAGGGACTGGGGCCTGGGCACGGGGGGCAGCAGGTCAGGAGTGAGGGGCGCTGGGTCAGGACTGGCCATCAATGTTTACAGATGGGACCTGGTACAAGAAAGGTTGAGAACCACTGGACTAGACCTCTGGAGGTCCCTTCCATCCCTACTTCTATATAACTTCTATGATTCCAGCATTTAAGGTCTAGGAAGTTCTAATTCAGAAGCTGTGCCCCTAACTCCTACGCTCAATAACTACTGATGCCCCTCTCCTCTAAGAATTTCTTCAACCCCTTTTTTAATTTGGTTAAACTGTGCGTTTCCACCACATCTGGTGGCAATGAGGTCCACACTTTAATTACACAGTTAAATTTAGTTCCACACTTTAATTTTATGGAAGGCTTTCAAAAGAAAAAAACAACAGGAAAAAAGCTATTAGATTGGATCTTTCAATAGAGTTACTCCCTGAGTGAAGTCACTCAGTCAGGAGGCCCACTAAAGGCTATTTTCTTCAGTTACAAATAGGGAGGTGGTGATTTTTTCCAATCCACACATCATGAGCACTATAGAACATATTCCAAGACAAATCAGCTCCAACAGTAGTGGGATAGAAGCAGTTCAAAGTATGCACTGCTTCTTGCAGATCCAAATTTCCACCACAGATATTTCCTTGATCTTATTATATCTAAACCAGACATGTCACTCTGGCAAATAAGGCTACAATCGCTACCATTGACTAAATTAAGATGTCTGGATAAAAATTCTGAAATCTGGGAAATAAATGACAGGAGATAACACGATAGGCACCTACAGAATCTGAAATGAGGCAACGCAATATCATATTCAGAAAACATATAACAAATGCATTGTAATTATATAAAGATCACTTCTAAAATAAAACTGAATTTAGCTTGCTCTCTAAACAAATTTTGGGTTCATCAGTATGCTGAGGATCACTGTTTTTAAAAAGTGAGCTCAATCAGAATTACTCTGAATGTAAACCATTTTAAAATGTATTCCCTTGCCAAGTTTTGTTTCACAGTTCCAATCAAACTCCATCTAATTATCCAGTAAGGGAATTATTTCAGTATGCAGTGGCCTGTCTACTGCACTTTGCTCAACAGCTGTTATGTATGATTTTGGTCCTTTGTGATTTTTGTATCATCTTTTCCATTTGCACATACATTTAAACATAGTTTCCTAGCACAGGGTTTACAGTTTTGCCATCAGTATTTCATACATTCTGGATTTTGTCTAATAATTTTTTCCCTTCGTAAATAGGCCAGGCAAACTCATAAATGTATGTAGGCAGCTCGTACAAAGTTAGAAACCTTATTCTAGGAAATGTATATTTTAAAAGGCCCTGATATTTTGTTTCTTACATTATTCTACAAGTTAAACCAGATCCTGAGCCATTGTAAATACAGTGGAATTAAGGCCTTGTCTCCATGCAGATACTCAGGCAAGTTAATTTGAATTAGCTAAAGATGTATTTAAAGTGGTTGATATAATATGGACCCTTGGCAGACATTATATTTATGGCACGATTAAAGTGTTAATCATGCCATAAATTATAACATGGCTCATGTTCAGCCAATTTATGGCACCATCAAATGGTACAAAGATGTAATGTAGAACCTCTTTGCAGTTGGCTTGTATGGCACCTTCAATTGAAGATGTGATATGATTTATTTTTCAGGTCTGGGCTGCCTCACCAGTGCCAACAACCAGCTCATTGTCATCATCAGCCCCAGACTGTCCCAGATCCCAGGGATACCCCCAGCCCGATCCCCAGGGATAAGGCTGAGGGCAGCTCCAGGTCCCAAACCTGAGCCTTTGGATTGGGCATGGGGCAATCACAAGGTCCATGACAGATCTGCCTCCTTTCTGATCCACAGGATTGTTGGGCAGCCCTGTAGTGGTGCAGTTGGGATCTGAGCAATTTTATGCCCCATCCCAAATATTGTTTGTTTTGCTATACATGTCTGGCATGGCAGGATGCACAATTTTTGTGAGATCAGATCCCAATTGTGCCATTATTTTAACAGGAGTTATAGTGTCCGCATACAGATTTAATGCAGTTTAATTAATATGCTTTAAAAGTTACTTCAGATAAATTATCTGAAGAGTCCCAGTGTAGAAAAAAATCTAAACCAGTTTACAGCAGCTGAGATCTGGTCCTTGAGGGTAGATCCAATTAAGTGTATAGATGCAGAATAACTGAGGGTACAGACAGACAGACAACAACTGGATTGCTATCAAATGATACCAATCCAAGCTGTTTCCATGCACGTATTACATCTGCATGATTCTGTAGTAATATGAGTGCACCCAAATGACTCCAACTTTACCCCTGCTTCATCAAAGGTCAAAATCAGGGGGATATGGTTCATTCATATCACTGCAGAATCAGACAGACATAACAGAGCATAAAGCTGCTGTGCCCTTCTGAGCAGCAGCTCCAGCTCCCCCTTTGAAGTAGCTACAAATGCACATTTGTCTACACTGTGGCCTAGATGGTCTAAATTCAAAATTGTGATTTGAAAAGCTCCCGCTGAGCTGCAGCCTAACTCTGGAGGTACTTAACTTCATTAAGCTTTTAACTCTACAGTACCCCAGGTACTCAGAGTTCTGCTTTGGTGCATGTCCACATGTAACCAAGTCTGAGCAGATTAGCTTCTATATCACATTTAAACCCAGTCATGAGTCAGGAACTAGAAAGTCCACTGCCTACATCCTCTGAGGGGCCTGATTTGGTAGGCGGTCTTACAGAATGCTTAAGATGCACCCACAAGACAGGGCTTCTCAGAAATGTGGTTGTGGCTATTTTCTTCTATTGCCATACTAGTACCTCACTTCTCAGTATATAATAGTCACATGAGTAGAGCTTTTACAGACCATTTAAGGCCTAGGTTCCATGCCTTCCTTAGACTGAGTGGAGTCAAATCCACTTTTCTTACCAACCACCCCCCTGGAGAATGTCCTAGGGTAGAGGGCATCCCTTCTATTGAAAACTATGGTACAGAATACAAGGCTCATTGACAAGGAGGCAAAGGTCCCTGCCACACTTTACACTTAAGGTGTGATTAACTGGTTAACATCTTAAGTTGCAACCTGGCCACACATTAAAGCAATTAATGCTGTCATAAAACAAGGCATAAACCACAAAGTTTTTCCACAAAAAATGTGGAACAACTTTGTGGCTGGTTCCTATGACACCATTAATTAAATATGTGGCCAGGTGCACCCCTGTGGCTGGGAGCCCAGATCAGCTGATGGGGCTTCTACTTGTGAGGTCATCATGAGATGGACTGGGCTGCACCTTTCCCCCAAAGGTAAGCATGTTTTCTCTTCTAGGTTGGCGGATCTCCTCTGGCGGACTTTAAACTAGGCTCGTTGGGGGAAGGGGAAGACATGGGTGGAGGAAGCCTCAGACAAGCAAGCCAAGCATCTCCTGCAGGAGCAGCCCAGCCTAAACCGATGACAAGAGAAGCAGGTAATCAGGTAAGTGACATGGGCTCGGGTACAGCTGGGATTAGGGGGGCAGTCTATTCATCCTCAGGAGGCCTCAAATGCTTCTATACTAATTCCCGCTGCATGAGGAACAAGCAGGAAGAACTAGTCCTCCTGCTAGCCAGCACCAACCCAGACATAGTGGGGCTCACTGAAACGTGGTGGGACCCAACGCATGACTGGGCAGCGAATATCAAGAGCTACAGGCTCTACAGGGAAGATAGGACAGGTAGGAAGGGTGGGGGTGTGGCGCTTTATGTCAAGGAGCAACATACATCTACAATGTGTATCACTGGGTCAGAGGAGGAGCAAACGGAAGTACTCTGGGTTAGAGTACAAGGGGGTTGGGGAGAAAGGGACTTCACGGTGGGGGTCTACTACAGACCACCCAACCAAGGAGAAGATCGAGACCAGGAATTCCTACGTCAGCTCACGGAGATAGTTAGGTCCAAGGATGTGGTTGTCATGGGTGACCAAAACTTGCCAGACATTTGCTGGGAGGAGCGGACAGCCAGGTCTGACCGCTCATGCAGGTTCTTAACTGACGTACACGACCTCCATCTTACCCAGGAGGTACACAGCCCCACCAGGGGAGATGCCTTGTTGGATTTGGTCCTGGCCATGGGCGACGACCTGGTATGGGGTCTGCGGGTGCTCGACCACCTAGGTGATAGCAATCATCATCTGCTGGAATTCACCATCCAGTGCAAGGTGGCAGCAGCCCTCGACTTCAGGAGGGCGGACTCTAATGAGGTAAGAAGACTCGTGGGGGAAGCACTGAGGTCCCAGAGCTGGAGGGAGCTGAGTGTCCAGGAGGAGTGGTCACTCCTTAAGGAGACAATCCTCCAAGCTCAAAGGGAAGTAATCCCTACACAAATCAAAGTGGGCAAGAGGGCACAAAGACCCCCATGGCTCACCAAAAGCATCCGGGAACGTCTCCAAACAAAAAAGGAGGCGTACACCCGTTGGAAGGGAGGGGCCATCACAAGAGAGGACTATACCTCGGTAGCTTGGGAATGTAGCGGGGCGATTCAGGAAGGCCAAGGCAGAAATGAAACTGGGACTAGCGACCTAGATCAAGGACAACAAGAAGTCCTTTTTCAAATACATAGGGGGGCAAAAGAAGGTGCCAAGTAACATGGGGCCTCTGCAGGACACACTAGGAAATCTGGTCATCTCACCCGACGGTAAAACTGACATATTCAATAATTTCTTTGCCTCGTATTTCTGAGAAGGGACCTGGATATCTCCCCCAATGGGCCCCCCGAGGGCCCTGTGGGTGGCACACCCAGGCCTAGGGTTAATGAAGACCTTGTCAGGAAACTTCTGGAGGGACTAGATGTATTTAAATCTGCAGGTCCTGATGATCTCCACCCCAGAGTGCTGAAGGAACTAGCAGGGGTCATTGCAGGACCTCTGGCACAGGTCTACGAGCACTCATGGCGCTCGGGCAATATGCCAGAGGACTGGAAAAGGGCCAGTGTGGTCCCCATCTTCAAAAAAGGGAGGAAGGAGGACCCAGGAAACTATAGGCCTGTGAGTCTTACCTCGCTCCTGGGGAAGCTTTTCAAAAGAATTATCCTGGCACATGTCCAGGAAGGGCCAGCAGGGGAGGTTATGCTCAGGGGCAACCAGCATGGGTTCATTAGGGGCAGGTCTT